TCTGAACGGCAGGGAAGGGCGTGGAACAGGGAACGGAGCAGGGGGACGAAAGGGGAGGGGGACAAAGGTTGGGAGGGTGGAGGGACGCGCGGAAGGAAGAGGGGGAGGAGAAGGAACCAAGGGAGGAGAACGGAGCGATGTTAACAAAATGTGCCCCCCCGTGCCCGGCAGGAGCGTTCACAGCGCACCTGTAGCGTGAAAGCCTGCACGGCAGGGAAGGGCGTGTGTCAGGGAGCGCAGCCGGGGGACGAAAGCGCCCTAGGCACCACTGCCTCCAGACCTCCCGGGCCACTCGCATCCAGGCTCGCACGGGCTGCGCGCCCCGGCCAGCCTGCGCCGCCCCCGCCCGCGTGAAGCAACAAGGGGGGGGTGCTTCCGCGCCCTGCCTGCCGCGCGCCCCGGCCCAGTTTGAGCCGCCCCCGCTCGCAGGAAGCAAAGGCGGGGGTGCTTCCGCGCCCTGCCTGCCGCGCGCCCGGCAGCCCGCGCCCGGGCCCGCGCAGGCCCGCGCTCATGCAGCTTGCAATGCCCATAGTATGTTGTTGTTGTTGCTGTTGTTGTTGTTGTTGTTGGTGTTGTTGTTGTTGTTGTTGTTGTTGTTGTTGTTGTTGTTGTTGTGATCGCTGGGCCTCCGCAGCCGCGCTGGCTCTTGTGTTCAGCTGTCACGGATTTTCCACAACTGTCCATACCTGGACTATATGATCGATCTGTGCCCTATGCCCTGCGGCTGCCACTCTCTGCTGCTACAGTGCCCCGGACTGCACAGGCATGGAGCGGGAGGGGAGCGAGGGGAGAGTGCCCGAGAGTCCGGTGCAAGCTACCATGTCCTTTGTATACCGCCCCCAACCTACTACACAGTTTCGACTCCGGGCGCACGCCTCAATCTTGAACAGAGGGCGCTGGTGCAGCGTGCAATTGTGGGAGGCCGGGCACGCACCGCGCATGCGTTAGTGGATGGGCCGGCCGGCCCAAGCCGTGTCGGACAGCAGGGCACAGGAGCCACACACACACACAGCTTGTTATCGCAACGAGTGCAACAATATGGGGCCCATTTCATCGGCCACGCGGCCGGGACACGATAACTGAATGTGGTGACATCTACCCGGCCTGCACCGCATAGCTTTCATTGCACACGCGACAGCGTAGAACATCCTCGTTATACAATGCAGCGCCCAGGCCTGGAACAAAGGCTGGGGCCCTGGGGCGTGGCGATATAGTTCTATGATTAACTGATAAACAAGTACAATTGGACACAATACTTAATAATCCAAGTGAATGCAGGATCGCCGGCATTGCCTCCCGGCTGTGTCCTGGAGGTCGATACCTCGTGATCTGAATGTGGGCAGTGACTATACAGGACTGCGGGCATTGCCGCCGGGCTGTGTCCTGGAGGTCAATACCTCTTATGCGCGAATGTGGAACTTAAGCCCAACGCAGGTAAAGACGCGCCGCATTCGAGGGGTAAAACAAAGGCGGGACCGCCAGCATTTCCGCTGGGGGTCTATACCTTTGTGGTGCGAGTGTGGAGTGGAAGCAGGACCGCCGGCATTGCCGCTGGGCTGTCCCAGAGGTCGATACCTCTGGTGTGCGAGCGTGGAATGAAGGCAGGACCGCCGGCATTCGCCGGGCTGTCCTGGAGGTCAATGCCTCTGGTGTGTGGGCGTTGAATGATTGCAGGACCGCCGGCCTAACCGCCGGGCTGTGTCCTGGAGGGCGATGCCTCTATGGTGTACGAGTGTGGAGTGAAGGCAGGACGGCCGGCATGGTCGCCGGGCTGTGTCCTGGAGGTCAGCACCTCTGATGTGCGATTGGGGGTGAAGCAGGACCGCCGGCATTGCCGCCAGGCTGTGTCCTGGAGGTGAATACCTCTGGATTCGCGCGTGGGATGACAGCAGGACCGCCAGCATTTGCGCCGGGTTATGTCCTGGAGGTCAGTGCCTCTGGTGTGCGTGTGTTGAGTGGGAGCCGGACCGCTTGCCTCGCCGCCGGGCTGTGTCCTGGAGGGCGATGCCTCTATGGTGTACGAGTGTGGAGTTGGGGCAGGACCGCCAGCATGGTCGCCGGGCTATGTCCCGGAGGTAAGTGCCTCTGGTGTGCGAGTGTTGGGCGGGAGCAGGACCGCCAGCCTCGCCGCCGGGCTGCGTCCTGGAGGACGATGCCTCTATGGTGTATGGGTGTGGAGTGAAGGCAGGACTACCGGCATTGCCGCCGAGCTGTGTCCTGGAGGTCAGCACCTCTGATTTGCGAGTGGGGGTGAAGGAGGAGGACGAGGAGGAGGAGGAGGACGAGGGAGGAGGAGGAGGAGACCTTAGACCTTAGACCATCTCATGGAATCCTGCCTGTGCCCACAAGCCGCACTGTTTCTCTGCCTGAACTCAGACCGCAATTCGACACGCACTAGGACTCTGAGGCGGGTCGCTACGGACCCCACATTCACTCCCTGAGGCGAGACCTTCGCTCACCCCAGCTGAGTCACTGGCCACGACTGGCAGGCCAACAGGCACGCAGCCCGCACATGGCCGCCAGCCCAAAGGCTCAGAGAGCTCCTCTCCTCCCCCGCCCCCGCTCCGCCCCACCACCCCGACCCTTCCCTCTAGCCTGCAACGGCCTACTACGAGGCAGCACTACGGTCGGGATTGGCGGCAACCCAGGGTCACTGTACGTCGTAGCCGATCGTGATCGGCTTGGACGCTCCAGAATATCTGGTGCCACCAATCCTCTAGAAATCAACTCCTGGAGCCGCGAACTTCCACTCAAGCTCCGTCTGACTTGTTCACCCAGGCCATAAGCTCCCTCTCTATGGGCCCCCGTGGGGCCGATCCCAGAAGAAACTCCCCGCCCTCGGCCTCGATCACCGCCTCTAGGATCCTCGACGCCTCCACGCCCATCGGCTTGTAGAAGTCGGTCCGCATCATGATGATCGCCCTGTTTTCCTTCTTCAACGGCTTGCAACGAAAATACGGAACCGCCCTGCCGATCACTTTCAGCGGGATGTCCTCGCTCATATACTGCTGCCACCAGTCCTTGCTGTCCAGAGCCAGTTGCTTCTCGACCTCTTCCGTAGACCCCGCTGTAGGAGTCCGCGTCGCACAATACTGCATTGCCGATACGAAAATCTGGAGGTGCGGAGGACCCCTGCCCTTGAAGTCCTGCTCTTCCCCCGCCTGCTGCTTGGCCCTCATGTCCTTGCTCTGCTCGTCGTACGTTTTGCCCGCCACGGCCAGGCAAGCTGGAAGCCCTCTGTCGAGGGCGATGTCCCACCTGAGGAACACGACACTGGCCACGTCCCCGAGCTCGCGCGTCACGGTGAGCAGGAGGCGCACGACCTGCGCCACGACCTTCGCCACGTCCTTGTTGCCCTTGCCGTCGCCCTTCTTGGCATGCTTGTTGCCGCTGCCCCCCGTCGGCTGGCCGCCGCTGCCTGCTGCTCCAGCGCTCGGCGGCGGTGCGGTGTCGCCATCTCGCTTCCTCAGGAGGAGGAGGAGGAGGAGGAGGAGGAGGAGGAGGAGGAGGACAAAGAGAAGGAGGAGGAGGAGGAGGACGAGGAGGGAGGAGGAGGAGGAGGAGGAGGAGGAGGGAAGGAGGAGGAGGAGGAGAGGAAGGAAGGAGAGGAGTAGAAGGGATGAGGAGGACGAGGATAATGGAGTAAAGGGGGAGGAGGAGGACGCAGAGGAAGAAGCGGGAAAAGGACGAGAGACGGAGGAGGAGTAGGACGAGGAGGAAGAGGAGGAGGAGGGGAGGAGGAGGAAAAGGAAGAGGGAGGAGCAGGATGAGCAAAGTAATGAGAATACGGGAGAACGGGAACAGGGAGGGGAGGAGAGTGAGGTGGATGAGGAGGAGGAGGGAGGAGAGAGACGAAGGATGAGGAGGAGGAAGAGGAGGAGGAAAAGGAAGGCGGAGGAAGAGAAAGGAAGAGAGAGAGAAGAGAGAGAGAGAAAGAGAGAGGAGGGGAGGAGAGGAGGACGAGGAGGAAAACGAGAGAGAGGAAGAGAGGAGGAAGAGAAGGAAGAGGAGAGGAGGGAGGAGGAGGGGAGGAGGAGAGGAGAGGAGGAAAGGGAGGTAGGAGGGAAAGGATAATGAGGTGAAGGGGGAGGAGGAAGAGAGGAAGGAGGAGAGGAAGAGGAGGAGGAGGAGGAGGAGGAGAGGAGGACGAAGGACGGAAAGAGGGAGGAGGAGGGGGAAGAGGGAGGAGCAGGAGGAGTAGAAGGAGGAAGCGGGAGGAGCAGGAGAAGAAATGCAATGAGGATAATGGGGAGGAGAGGAAAAAGGGAGAAGGAGGAGAAGAAGGAGGAGGAGGAGGAAGGAGAACAAGGGAGGAGGAAGATGAGGAGAAGGAGGAGGGGGAGGGACAGGAGGAGGAAGAGGAGGAGGAGGAGGACGAGGGAGGAGGAGGAGGAGGAGGAGGAGAGGAGGAGAAAAGGGGGAGAAAAGGATAATGAGTGAAGGGGGAGAGGAGGACGAAGGAGGAAGAGGGAGGAGAAAGGAGTAGAAGGAGTGAAAAGAGGAGGAAAAGGGGAGGAGGAGCAGAGAGAAGGAGGAGAAAAAGAAGGAGGAGCAAGGAGGAGTAGGAGAGACGAGGGCGGAGAGAGACGAGGGCGGCGCCGGAGGAGAAAGGTAAAGGGAATAATGGGGAGGAGCGGGAAAAGGAGAAGGAGGAGAAAAGGAGGAGGAAGTAGGAAGAAGGGGAAGAAGGAGAAGAGGAGGAGGATGAGGGGGATGGGACAGGAGGAGGATAGAGGAGAGGAGGAGGAAGGAGGAGGAGGAGGAAGGAAGAGGAAAAAGAAGAGAGAGAGAGGATAGAGAGAGAAAACAAAAAAGAGGAGGAGGAGGAGAGGAACGGAGGAGGAGGGGGACAAAGGGAGGAGGGGGAAAGGAGGACGAGTAGAAAAAGGAGGAGAGGAGGAGGAGGAGGAGGAGGAGGAGAAGAAGGGAGGAGGGAACGAGGGAGGAGGAGAAGAGAGGGAGAGAGGAGGAAGAGGAGGAGATGGGAGGAGGAGCGGCACCTTGAAGCCCAGCGCGGGCGAGGCATGGCCTGGTGGCTCGCTGTCCACGGGGCTGGCCGGCGGCCTCTGCCGCGCCAGAGCCGGCGCATCCGCGCCGTCGCGCATCCACCGCTCCAGGAAGAGGCAGAAATCCTCCACGTAGCCACCCAACCCACAGCAATCCTCCTCCTCCTCCTCCTCCTCCTCCTCGCTCCTCCTCCTCGACCTCCTCCTTCCTCCTCTTCCCCTTCCTCCTCCTCCTCCACCTCCTCCTACCTCCTCCTCCTCCTCCTCCTCCTCCTCCTCCTCCTCCCCTCCTCCCCTTCACCTCATTAATCCTCTCCTCCTCCTCCTCCTCCTCCTCTCCTCCGCCTCCTCCTCCCCCTCTCCCCTCCTCCTCCTCCTCCTCCTCCTCCTCCCCTTCCTCCTCCTCCCCTCCTCCTCCTCCTCCTCCTCCTCCTCCTCCTCCTACCTCCTCCTCCACCCGTCTTCTGTTCCTCCTCCTCCTCCTCCTCCTCCGATGGGTACGCTGGGCTCCTCCTCCTCTTCCTGCTCCTCCTGCTCCTCCTGCTCCTGCTCCTGCTCCTCCTCCTCCTCCTCCTCCTCGTCCTCCTCCTCCTCCTCCTCCTTCGCTCTAGGAAGAGGCAGAAGTCCGCCACCCCGATACGCATCACGCAACCCAGAGCGTCTTGACACGGGGCTCAACACGCAAACTGAAAACGCGCGTTTGGCGCGACAGGTTCACCCCGACGTGGGCCAGCACGCTGCGCCGACACGCAGCGCGCGTGACTGGGGCCGTTTATGAGCACGGTACGACATGGTGCGTGTTGCGCTGCTGCACGAGCACATCAAGGCTGCTCACTTACCCTGCTCACTGCTCTCCCTGCTCACTGCCTCTGAGGAGGGGAAGAGGAGGGGGAGGAGGAGGAGGAGGAGGAGGAGGAGGAGGAGGAGGAGGAGGAGGAGGAGGAGGAGGAGGAGGCAAGAGGAAGGAAGGAGGCGGAAGGAGGAGGAGGGAGGAGGGGGGGAAAACGGAGTGGGGGAGCGCCCAGTTTAATCACCGCCGAGTAAAACAGGGGGGGGGGGGGGGGGGGGGGGGCGGGGGGGGGGGTGGGGGGAGGCGGGGGGTTGGGGTGGGGGGGGGGGGGGGGGGGGGTGGGGGGGGGGGAGGGGGGGGGGGGGGGGGGGGGGGGGGGGTAGCAAAACAAAAGACCTCTTAAGGTTATGGTCCTCCAGGGTGGACTGCAGGCCCGCCGGCGGCAGCGAGCGGAAGGGCTCCGGGAAGCCGCCGGGGCGCAGGCCGCCACCGGCCCGCGAGCTCTGCTCGAGGCCCCGCTTCAGCCAGCCGGCGCAGTCGTCGAGCACCGCCGCCCAGTCGACCTCGTCCTGCTGGGCGGCGGCTGCGGCGCCAGACCTCCGGC